TCTATTTTGTTTATTTTCTCGAAGAACCAGCTCTTGGTTTCATTGATTTTTTCTTTTGTTTTATTCTTCTCAATTTTATTTATTTCTTCTCTGATCTTTATTATGTCCCTCCTTCTGCTGACCTTAGGCCTCATTTGTTCTTCCTTTTCCAATTTCGATAATTGTGACAATAAACTATTCATTTGGGATTGTTCTTTCTTCTTTAAATATGCCTGGATTCCTGTATACTTTCCTCTTAAGACTGCTTTTGCTGTGTAACGCAGTAGTTGGGGCTTTGTGTTGTTGTTGTCATTTGTTTCCATATATTGCTGGATCTCCATTTTAATTTGGTCATTGATCCATTGATTATTTAGGAGCATGTTGTTAAGCCTCCATGTGTTTGTGAGTCTTTTTGCTTTCTTTGTACAATTTATTTCTAGTTTTATACCTTTGTGGTCTGAAAACTTAGTTGGTAGGATTTTAATCTTTTGGAATTAACTGAGGCTCTTTTTGTGGCCTTGTATGTGGTCTATTCTGGAGAATGTTCCATGTGCACTTGAGAAGAATGTGTATCCTGTTGCTTTTGGATGTAGAGTTCTATAGATGTCTATTAGGTCCATCTGTTCTAGTGTGTTGTTCAGTGCCTCTGTGTCCTTATTTTCTGTCTGGTGGATCTGTCCTTTGGAGTGAGTGGTGTGTTGAAGTCTCCCAAAATGAATGCATTGCATTCTATTTCCTCCTTTAATTCTGTTAGTGTTTGTTTCACATATGTTGGTGCTCCTGTATTGGGTGCATGTATATTTATAATGGTTATATCCTCTTGTTGGACTGATCTCTTTATCATTATGTAATGTCCTTCTTTATCTCTTGTTTCTTTCTTTGTTTTCAAGTCTATTTTGTCTGATACTAGTATTGCAACACCTGCTTTTTTCTTCCTGTTGTTTGCATGAAATATCTTTTTCCAACCCTTGACTTTTAATCTGTGCATGTCTTTGGGTTTGAGGTGAGTCTCTTGTAAGCAGCATATAGATCGGTCTTGCTTTTTTATCCATTCTGTTACT